TCAGGACAGGGAACCAGTCGTAAAGCAGGCAAACCTAAAACAGAATCAGAAGCTGCTGTGCTGCTCAAGACACTTTCTGCCAAGTACGCAGCTCCGTGGTCATGCAGCTGGCTCTCTGTCTGCATGTCGGTTTTAGGCTGGCGACGGCGCCAGCAGCATTTGTGCCATCACTGCCGCACCGCTTCCGCCATGCTTAAGCCACAGCTTGCTGCACAGCGCACAGGCACTTTTAGTCACTGGGAAAGGTCAATCTAGCGTCTCCAGCTGGTGCCTCCGTCAATGCATGCGCTGACACGTCCCCAGAAGCCTGCTGGCTGAGCGGAGCTGATTGAGGGGCGGATCATGGCAACAGGTACGACTGATTGTCCAGGCTAGCTGACAGCGCTGGCAGGGGCCATGTCAGCGCTGTATTACGCACGGGTGAGTTTTGCCGAAACTGCTCAATTGTCCTGAGCAATGGCTGTGGCCCGGGCGACGAGAACCTCTGCCGCAGCAGCCGACAAGCTTACCAATCGTGAAGGCCGCGCCGAGATTGGCTCCACCGAGACAGAATCGCAGAAGTGAACCTCGAGAGGCTTTCACATCATGCCCTTTGCGCAATCGCGGTCAACATATGAAGTGGAGGCGAAGCTCTTCAGTGCTTGCCCACCTTGCGCTTCGTCAAGCTAGGCGACTCCGGATGCGAGAGCCCCTCAACAGCCTGAAACAGCTGTCTTAGTCATCCGCACAAATACATGCTGGATCCTGCCGGCCTCATGATAAAGGGCAGCCATGAAGGGAACGCCCTCCGATCCTGCAATCACCTGACAAACATCAGGTAAGCTGGCTGGACAGCATGCGCAAATCATGTTTTTGAGATGGCCATGTCAAGCAAATTGGCCATGCAGCGTGCCTCGCAAGGCACGGACGGATTTAAATGCACCAGCTCTGACAGCGCACCTCGTCATGGTCTTGTAAGCCTAAAAAACACCGCACGCCACTGCACCAAGCAAAGCGCCTCCTTTTCCTAATCCCTTTAGATCGATTTGTTGTGCTGGGGTACTGCTAGTTTTGCTTGAACCCAGAAACTTCAAAAAGAGCATGCTGCGTGCTGACAAGAGTAATTAGCAGCAACAATTAACGTGAACAGCATATACGGTATGGTGATAGCCACGGTTGCACTTACCACATACTTCCATACCCGCGATGGCATCAGCAATTTCCAAGCTCAGCTGCCGCTACCGTTTTGAATTTTGAACAAGATCCGGGATCTGAGTCTGCCCGCAACCAGCCCTCCGCTTCGGAGTTGCGACTCTTCCAGAATCTTCAGAATACTTTTCGTCTGGGAGCTGTTTCTTAAGCTGGATGTCGCGAGAAGGCCTATAACTTCCTGGCGGGGGCATGGGAGCTTGCTGTGAGGAAACTGATATGAAGGCCAGCTGGCAATTGCTAAGCTTCAAAGAGAAGCCTGCAATTTGGTTTGGTGGTCGCCGACCTTGGGGGCAGCTTGGGGACGAGGCCTTGAGCGCCTGCATGCAGAGCTAGGGACCGTTGGGTGGGTGCATATGCAAGGGATAAGCTTAAACCAATTAACAAATTGAACCAAAAGCACCACTGCACAGCCCATGCACCTCCCAAGCTTCAGGATCCTTTGTGTCAGGCAAGGAGGTCTGCAGTGCTCGGGAAGTTAGACATCTCATGCCAAGAGTGCAATAGCCCTGCGTCGGACTCCTAACCCGCTGACGTGTAACATACAAGCGGGCTAGCAAGGCTGAACTCGGAAGCGTCGCTCCGACAAATCCACCGTCGGTTCCAATTTTCAGTCGCTGGGCCCAAGTCCCAAAAATACCAGCGAATTCCCCAGAAGGAACCACGACACAGAAAACCACGGCAAATTCAGCCATGGTCTGCCAGGATGCACAGCACAGCAAGGCCGTTGGAGTGTGCACTTGTGCGCACACCCGATAGCACAGGTTGTTTCCAGTCATAGAACCCATGGTAATGGCACATCGGGGAGATGAGGCGCAAACTGGGTGATCCCACGCAAAAAAACGAGCTGAGCGTGCGGGATGCTGAGCCACTGAGTACCTACTCTGACAACCGACATAGCTCGTGTGGCTGTTGCCGGTAAATCAGACAAGAAGTAGTAAGTAGACATTAAGGAATCCAAGAGGAAAACCGACTAGCTCCTTCGGTGCGTGTGAGAGAGAGAGAGAGAGAGCGAGAGAAAAGACAAATCTGAGCCTAGGTGTGTGCTGGTGATTTTCGATGGGAGATCATCGGACCTACCTGCAAAAGTGCTGCGATATCGCTCTTAAGAATGGCTATAGTTTCATTTAGGGTAGAGGATGATTGCTGCAAGCGAGCGCGAAGACAGTGACTGCTAGATTGATGCACCAGATAGGTGCAAGTGCGCATTGGCTTGTCAAGAGTAATATGTAACCAAAAGGAAAGAGAAACGAAAGACAGAAAAGAAGATAAAACAAAAAGCTAGCCTCTTGCCGGCCAGTGGGGTCGTTCCACGTTTGCGTGCGCATTGCGGCGGTTTGAGGCAGAATTCGCAGTCCAGCAACATTGCAAGTGCGCAACATTCCAAATCCATCTGTCCCGAAACCTTTCATCCAGGGCAAGTGGTTCCTAAGTGTACTTCCCAAACATGCACGCCCCATCAACGATCAACAGGCGGCACCGCCAAGATCAATCAAGGCACTTCTTCGAACACGAAGTGTGATGTTCTCGGCGCTTACGACTATGGTGTCCAACTCGCCCTCCTGGAGAAGTGCAGATGCAAAAGCAAGACACTGGGCTGCACATGCATGTTGGCAAGACCCGCTAAACTCTGCGCCGGCCCGTGACTCCCACAGCAAACCTTCCGAGGCGGGTCTCCTCAAGCATCATCTTCAAGCTGTATAAACCTGCCACGTTGTGTGAGCATAAAATGCCCATTATACTTTTCAATGCCTCTCATGTCGAAATCCTTCCCGTACTCCTAATTGCCACTCCATCTGCCCGAGCTGTGGAAGGCATTGCCTGATGTCAGGCCACATTTGACAGCCGCGCCTCGTTGATCTGGGCCAGATATGATGGTGCCTGTAAGACCTTCGCAAAACGGCTTGGCCCGTGAAGGGTGCAGTGGGAAGCATTGCGCTTGACTGGAGCACGTGTTGCATTCAATGTCCTCTAGATCACCTCCAAACTTAGCTCGAGAATGCTCAGACCTTCAAGCTCCTGTCGAGTCGCAAGGCCTGCCAGCAGTAGCAATTCGCATACAACTACCGAATAGTACAGCAATTGCTTGACAACAATGTCCGTGGGCTTTGACTTTGGATCTTGACTTGTCCTGGCTTGCTGCGTGCTGATGATCAGTTAATTTCACCCTGCACGCAAGGTTCAAGCTGCAGCGCCCAAAGGCCTCTAGACTCTACTGCTTAAGCATCAAGGCTGAACACCACTTTCTGCGCCATGCCTACTAAAAGCATGTGCAACTTGCCAAGGGCTTTAGGTTGAATACTTGCTTACGGATCACAAAATATCACACAATAAACCCTGCATGGATTCGTCCTTTTGTCAGCGCACATCCACATCAGGCGTGGGCGCTTGTTGCGCAGACCTCTGGCAAAAAATGCTAAAGGGTGATAAGGATTCATAATCCGAGCACTAGATTAATTATATGGACCATATTTAAGGAATTTTGTTTGGCAGAAGTATGCTCCAAAGACTAGCTAGAATTAGGTGGCTTTTCGCATGGGGAGAAGGGACCATATTTAAAGAATTTTGGGGGGAACCAATCCTGACACATTCCTATTCACTTTTGAATAGAGCTCCAAGAGCCCCGATGATCCAGGAAGGATTTTGCTTTGGGTTTTTAACAGAAATTCAATACGTTCCTATTCAGTCTTGAGTAGAGCTCCAAGAGACCCAATAATGATGCAGGAACGATTTTCTTTAATCCGGCGCACCTCATTCCTTATTCTGGCGGGCGGGGGGCCCAAGATTAATCTTGCTAGGATTAAGTCATAAGCTCTACATGCGTCCGCGCTCCGCGTTCTCAGCCCCCCCCCCCATGGTATGGTCTCCATCTGGGAATAAGCCACATCTAAACCTCCCGTACCCATGAACTCTCCGTAGAACCTCTCTAAAATCTTCTTCCAAGCCCTCTATAAACCTTCACCACAGGACCCAGACCACAGGACCAAAGGACCACCGGGGGCAGTGCCCTCAGAACCTGTTGACCGTGTATGAAACGTATAACCCCTGTGAACTTTGCCAAGAAGCTTATAAAGAAACCTGTATAAACCCTGTAGAAACAATCTAATTCCGTAAGATTTGCATAAAACTCTATCAAATGTTCAGAAACCTTGTAGAAACCCTTCAGAAAATCTCTTGAGACCTCTTAACACCTGCTATTAAATAATGAACCGTCTGCAAACCTTCTTAAAACATTATAGAACCCCATTATAAACTTCTATAAACTTAATCTAAATCTCTCAATTAAACCACCAAACTCAGGGGTGGGGGGGTTAGGGGAGGGGGGGGAGCATGCTGGATCAGCTACATTACCTGGGCTCTCTTGAGCACAACTTTCCTTATATGAACACGGAAAATCATGGAAGTTTTCGAAAACCTTCAGCCCGCAGACCAAGCTGACATTCCCTGCAAAAGGCCTTCCCGAAACTTACTTAAAAAGAACATGCCTCAACACGATACCTTGGAAATGACATCAGGTCGTTGCCGAGGAAGGGGGGCCGACAGGTCATTTGGGTAAAGCTATGGACAAGAAGACACTGAAACCTTACAAAACCATCGAATGTAAGAACATCACGTTTAGAGAGGCTTCTCACGATCTAGAGCATCAGCAGCACTATTGGGTTTTCTTTCGGAGTTTAGAAGAGGGGCGGCCAGACCGGCCCATGCCGCCGGGCACGAAATAATTCTAGACAGGTCTCCTGTAAGTGTGCCACCTGTCAACTGCCCATGAACATGGACAGCACATCAGCTCTAACGTGGCAGTTGTCAAGGGGCTAGCTCTGGTCTAGCCACATGGTCGAGATGCAATTTTGCTTGGCAAGAGGCTCAACCTGGAGGCGGCTCATTCCCATCAACTTGACATAAGAGGGCAGCGCAGCAAACAACACGTCGTTGTGGCCGCACCCCTGGCCGTGGTGAATTCCAGAGCTTGGAGACAAAAAGGGGGAATGTCTCAAAGCTTTCGATAGGGCCAGGGCGTGGCTTCCAATTAAGCTCTAAAAGCTCTACCAGCTCCCTATTTCATATCTGATTATCGGCGCAGCGCTGCCTTAGATTGATGGTCTTCTGGACTAAGGAAGCTTCAAAGGGCTTGCAGGGCCGCTTTCCACACAAAATTGAGGTAAGAAACCCTCTTGGGAGGTACTGGCATGCTATCTGCAGATGGACTCTGCTCCAAGTGATTCACAAAAGGACGCTCCCAAATCCCAAACCTGGGCCTACGAGCAGCACCAAGAGATAGCACGCTCTCGCTGGCCTTTGGCCGCAAAAGCTCGCACTCCCTCCCCAAAGCTCGGACCGAGCTATGCAGTTCCTGCCAGCGTTCCGCGCACTCGCAAGCAGTTTGACTCCAATAGCAGGACTTCAGCGATCAAACCCGCGCTCACGCTCCCTTGGCCTGTCCGTGCTTGAAGGGGACAATCTCATCACTGGGTGGATGAACTATCGAAACCTGTGCTCTTTTGCTTCCGGCATTCGTTGATTTTCACTGAAGTGAAAACAAGCCTGCCAACCGGCAGCTGCAGCTGCGGGCACAGTCTCTGCGTTGTTCCACCGGTGGGTCACCTGTCGTTGGCACAGGGATGCTACAGCGACACGGCACGGCACAGAGGATGGTGATGAGATGCTGTCCAGCACGGAGAAATGGCTTAGCACAGAATTGGTGCAACAGGAACAGCAAAGCCCCATGTCTTCTTCGGTCATGAATTGTTGACACCACTGTGTCACCGTTGCTGATTCACGTGGCGTTTGGCCTCCATGCTGTTTGGTCCCGCTGTCTTTCAATTATCTGCATCATGCGAGGTCGCATCCGAATTGTCAGAGATAGTATTGTTCAGGTGCAAGAATGAGAAAATGACAACTTTGTGCTTCCCGCAGGCTGTCCTTGGGTGGGCCCTGGACTCTTTCCTTCATATGCTCATCTGGCGTGTCTCTTCACTGAACTGCCAGACTTCGTGACCCTTCCTAGCCTGGAACTGGACTGTCTGCCATGCAAAGTTCCCCCTACAGGCAAGCAAGAATTGTGCCATCGGTCACCAGGACCCGAAGGAGCCAGCGTGGCAGGAGACCCCCAAACAGAACGGCTGCCATCTCCTCAGTGCCGGAGGAACTGACATGTGACCTCAAACTCGAGCCAATGCAGAGCATGCCAAGACTCATCAATGCTGAGGAATGGGGAGGACAGAAGTAGCCGACCGCCCTGCACTGGTGCATCTGGCCTGCGGCTCGAGGAGCGTCACTTCCAACTCGTAAACTGACAACACAAGACCTGGAGAGGTGTGCTGCAAGCTGCGAGGCAGCTGCGGCGCCCAGACTGTGTCCGAGTAGGTTGATGGAATCTGGCCTCCTGCACAAATTATCATCATGACTTTGCTGTTTCTTGGGCCTGTTGTGGTTTGTACCCGTGCTTGCCCCACATTCAATGCACGTCACGCGGCTGATCCCCAAGGTCGTCCAGCAGCTTTGCCAACGCCTGCTGCGAGGACTCCAGCGCTGCTGTGGGTGAAGGTTCTCCACCTTCGAGCCACACGTCCCAGCGAGACTGCAACTCTTCATTAACTGGACTTAATGTGCATTTCAACCACCATGTGCAGAGGGTCGCTGGATGGCCACACTTTTCATGGAACTCAATAACTTAGAAGCACCAGGCGCAGCACCATTGAAGCCGTAGCCAGGATAGTCCACCAGCAGAAAACATGGTGATGCCGCCCCCTCATCCTGGACCACAGGCCACTAGCAAGAGCCGGACAACAACATCTCCACACACCTTCATGCACAGAGCAGCTTCGCAGAAAGGAAGCCAGTCTGCAGAGACCATTGCATTTCCACCTTAGGGTATTCCAGACGGCAGTCACTCAGACAAACCTCCTACATGCGCTTGGTATGCAAATTTAGCTTGACGTACCTCAAAAATCAACGGTGTACATGCGACATCACCACTTTGAGGAATCTGAAAAGATTTCGTCTAGCACATGTTGTAATGTCACCACCATGGTGCCTTCGACAAAGCAGTCGCACGGTTCTCTTTCGAATCAAGACTCTAAGAAAATAAATACTCCTGCCTCGAGCTGCCCCCAACATGTGGGGCTATGTCAGGCCTATGTCCCAACTATATCCGGCTATCCCGGCCTCGTCGAGGATTTTGAAAGGAAATGCCGTGCTGAGGTGCTTTTTCGAAACACTCTACCCCACATAGTCCTGAGATAATCCCGGGTATTTGGGGGCAGTTGTAATTTCCCCTTAGAACGGCAGCATTTCTGAGCTTCGAGAGACCAGTCCAGAGATAGTCCTGAGATAGTCCTGAGATAATCCTGACATAAGACGGGGCATTGGAGGGAGTTGTAGTTTCCCCTTAGAACGGCAGCATTTCTGAGCTTCCAGAGATAGTCCTGAGATAGTGCTGAGATAATGCCGGGTATTGGGGGGAGTTATAAATTCCCCTTAGAACGGCAACATTTCTGATTCCAGAGATAATCCTGAGGTAATCCTGAGATAAACCCGGCTATTGCGGGGAATCGTCATTTCCCCTTAATTCTATGTCCCTAACGCTCTCGCTGGCTTTGCAATCCTTGTAGTGGTGCAGCAACAGTCCTCAACCCCCTATACCCCTTGTATCCCCCTTATGTAGACCGATATAGCGCCAACATAGTAAGGATATAGTGGGGATTTAGGGCCGATAAAGGCCCAGATTCTGGGGGGAGTTGTTGGGGGGAGGAGAAAACTTCTTAGAAAGACTGTTTGTCACTCGCATGAACCAACCAGTGGCTTCCAGATCGGCTTCCTGGTAACGATGCAAAGCCATTCAAACATTGTACTATACTAATACCATCAGTTGGCGGTGGTAATAACTGGTAATACCAACAATTTCAAAATGCCTTGCCCCTTCTGGCTGCACCGAGCACGCTCGCCCAGGAAAGACAAGAAAATGCCATGGATCGCGAAAATACTTGATTTTCGGCCCCTTTCAAAAACAAGCGTATTTGCTCCGGGTGCACGGCTAGTGCGACGGCTAGTGGTACTAGTAGCAGCTGCAGCAGCGTCACAGTTCTCAAGCTCCCACTCATGTCTCTGCATCCAGGACCTTTTGGCTTCTGGTGAGAGCCTCCTCCGAAATCACCACCAGGTGACCAAGTCCTGCTCTGTGAAATTGACAGCAGTTCCACGCTAGCCTCTCTTTGCTTTGATATGCCTTCTTGAGATGAGCAGTCTCCCGACCAAAAGGTTCACTCCTCAGGCGGTTCGTGAAATAAGTTCTGCACGTCAGTGGCATACTGGCCACCCAAACCAGACTTGCGACAACTTATTGTTGGTTCCCTTCATGTCAACGTAGCACTTGGACTTTCAGCCTGTGTTTCAAAAGTTCTTGTTTGATTCCCGTATCCAACACAGCTAATCCGCGGGTGCTCAACTACGAAGGGCTCCCCACGCTCGCATGCAAACGTAACATGTGGTGGCTGTGCAACTCTGGCAGAGATAGCCTTCTAGGTTCCCCAACATGAAGGGTGCAGGGATATGTTTTTTGCCGAACCTGTTTGGGCTCCTGCCCAAGCATGGTGCTCATTGCGTGTTGAAATCTTGCCAAACGCCAGGTCTGCACTTTACGACAATGAGCCATCAACAACGACGACAATCCTGCACTTCGCGAAAAGCTCAAGAACAGGACTGTGGCAGGAGCGCGATCAGACGAGGAATTGGGAGAACGCTTGGGAGCTCGTTGCGAGCTAAAACGGCTGTACACTTGCGAAAATGAGCCGTCAAAAACATTGGCAATTCTGCACAGGCTCTCTAGACGAGCGCTGAGAGCCGAAATCGTCCCAGAGCGACAACTATTCCGTGCTTTAGGAACCCAGGCCACGGACATGTAATGCTGCTCGGGCGAACATCCTGGAAAATACCCTACCTTGCAAGCAACCTTTGCAAACACTGACATGTCAACTATTGTGAATTCAATGCCCACTGGGACCAGGTTTGGTGCTAAGAGATTGAGGTCTGCGCAAACGTGGTACCGTTTTGAGGCTAGCTTGGCGCATCTTAAAAAAGCGGGCGGGTTTGGCAAACACAGTGGTTAGATGTCCACGATGTTTTTGAAAAATGCGGGGGTGGAGGGCCAGCGGCCAGCCAACCATTTGCGACAAGATGATCAAGTGACATGCTGCTCAACCGAAAGTTTCAAATACACGCTTGCAGCTAGTTTTTGGCACGGCTTAAATAACCGGGGGAGTGGGGTGGGGGGAACCCCTATTTGCCAACACAATGCTGAGATGTCGCACGAAGCTTTTCAAAACATTTGTGAACAGAATTATCAAATGACATGCTGTTCAGCCGAAACGCTTCAAGATCCAGACTTGCAGCCAGTTTTGTGCACGGCTCAGAAAAGAAGATCAGAGGGGCTCAGAGGGGTAGGGATGATTTGGAACACCACTTGGCATCATTTTGGGACAGAAGCGCTACATGGGGGTCGTTTCGGATTGGGACAGAAGATTTTCATTCACTGTAATCCACCTTCCCCAGAAACTCATGGAAACCTGGAAACCGTGCGAACCCTGAAGTCCCAAAATCCTATGGTTTTTTTTAAGGTTTCCACGGTTTCCATGGAACAAGATTTGTGCTCACTATAACCCACCTCCGCCCTAAACTCATGTAAAGCGTGCGAACCCTTCCATGGTTTCCAAAAAGTCGGTTTCTATCCCATGTGGTGGGGCTAGTTCTGGCTTTACTGTTTTGCCCCAGTAATCCAAGCTTCTGCAGAACACGATGACAAGGAGCTGTGTTCCTGCGAATTTTGGAGGGCCCTCTGTACAGGGGTCCCACTTCTCCTTGTCTGCTCCCGAGGCGGTCGTTAGCAGGTCAATGTCCAAAGACGCTTCTGCAACCAAGTCTGCTCCTGTGAGTTGGCTGCCTGCGCTGCTGGGCACAGAGACGCCCCCATCGTACCAAACTGTCCCTGTTCCCTGCTCCGCCTCGTACGCCAGTGTTTGGTCTGAACCCCTCCGCTCTCCACCAAGCACAAGGCGTTTCACGTCCGCAAAAATCTTCCAGCTTTCGGCCAGCCGTGTTCCTGTCTTCTGTCTTGCTCGGAATCTCTATACGTTGCGAGGACCACCCAATTTTTGGTTTAGGAAAGTGTGGTCACTGCTTAGTGGCCAGCAACGGCAGCAGTGGCAGTGCAGGGTCCAATAGCCCCACTACATCCCACTACTTTCTGCAGAGAAAAAGAGACTGAGTCGTATCTTCCCGGGCTCTCCGTGAACAACTTTGTCCTGTAGCCATCCGTGAGATCAAGACCATCTGATGGTACGATCATTACGATTCTGGCTGTTGTGTTGCAATTGCCATTGAGATCATGATTATTCTCCTGCGTTCTTTCCAGTGCAATCGTGATGATCGAGTATTGCTGCCCGCACCCAACTGGTAGAACTCGGTTCATCCTTCCTACCACGGGACAACTGTCTCAGAAGAGCTCCAGTAGTTGCACCCTCTGAAGCGTGACGTGTCCTGCCCCGTTCGACATGGTCGGCTTCGACCTTGTGATTTGACTCGATAGCGTTGGCCGGGTCTTCTTGAAGGGAAGGGGCACGGAAAGGCGGACGGAGCCGCTCAAACCGGCTTTGACCTGCTTAGCGAGGGCTTACACAGACACCCTTCATGGACGATATGGATGGTTGCCGCTCGTGCTATTGTAGTAAGGAAAACCTGACAATGAAGTCTCCATATTAATGAAAGAACGCTTGGTTGACAAGTCGATTGTCCTCATCCATCTGTCGATAATGGATTGATGGTGGGAAATTTCTTGTGCGAACAGCTTGCTGTCGCCAAGATTCGCCAAGGCCATGAGAAGAGATCATCTTGTTCCACGCTGTCTTGTCTGCTCTTGCAATACAACGTTGCGGCGACATGAATTTGCAAGAAACAGGCTGAGCGCTCTACCGAAGACTAACCATAGCGGACAAGAAGACATCTGCTGCGGTCGAACCTCAGAAAGCAACTTCCGAAGTGATCAGGTACTGGTGCTGACGTCCTCAAGGAACTTTGAGGCCCAAGCAAAGAGCGCCCTCTGCTTCATCTTTTGTGCAAAATAATCCACCTCCTGGGTGCGTGAAGCACACATGTGGTATGAGCTTTTTTGGATGGGCCACTCAAAAACTATGCGTACCCAAAAGCCAAGCGCAATGATCCGCGGCACTGGCTATTTGTACGTGTCTGACACGAAACAGGGAATTTCCATTGGTGGACATGGTGCAGTCCTTGATTCCGTATCCATGCTGCTGCAATCTGGATGACATGTCGGCAATGGCTTTCGCGTAGTACCTGCCGGGACATTCTGGAGTGTTGCAGGCTTGAGACTGAATCTAAGTATTTTGTTCATGCAAGTCGCGTGTCACCAGGAATTGGCCGAGGGTGATACAACCTGCTTGTTGTCTCCGAAAGGAAAGGAATGCGCCCATGAAGGGGAAAATGGCGAGGAGCTAGAAGCGAGCGACGAACATGACTGCTGAAAGCGAAGCCTGCAGCCTGGGCGCAGAGCATTCTGAAGCCTTGTTGCAGCGCCACGGAGAGCAAAGGCAGCGATGCCGCAAGCTGTAGCAGCGACAAGCACCTGCAACTGGCGAAATCCTACTTCTTCCAATCTATTGTCATCAAAGCGCTGGAATGGTAGGCAAATGGCCAGCCAAGAGCTTGGCTGCAGCCACGCGAACTCGACCGTAATTTCTCTCTTTCGCTTCACATTGTAGTTGCGCTTGCGGGCATATGTGGGAAGTGCGTGCGCACATTGTGCAAGGCGCCTTGGAAGCTAGGACTCAGGAGAGAACATGGGTAGTGCTCTGGCCAACGAAGCCTTCTTAGCGAAGGATTCTACATCCCTGACTTTTCCTCATTATGAGGCTTCACACGCACGTCTAGTCACCCCCTCTCCCGACAACATCACTGCTAATCCCATGCAGCATATCATCTGTGTGCCCAGTTGTTCGGGGTCCCGAACCATGTTCCTCCCTACAAGTACTTCAGCATTTGGTGAGACCTAGGCTATGTTCCTGTCCCTGGCAATTGACCCAACAGCTGTTCCTATATCCTGAAGGGCAGGCTTTCCTTGCTTGCTGCTCACACTACCTTTTGGGGTGGGCTCCAAAACAAACACCGGCATCGAACTCTCTCGCTCTCTCTCCATCTCGCTCGGTCGATCTTGTTCAGCCCACTGAAGAAGGTTGGGCCAATTTGGATCGATCATACTTAGACGCTTCCCGTTGAACGGGGCGTATGAGCTGCGCGTCTGCTAAAGTGCGCAATGCTCGGCCAGGCACCCGCCGCCCGAAGCCAGGCGCCTGCGTTAGCGCGCTGGATGCAGCTGGTGCCATGGCCGAAAGCTGCAAGTAGCTATGGGCAAGGCGTTCAAGCGGAATGTAGGTCAAAACCTCTTGATAGATGTGACAGCTGCTATCTCCGTTTCGTGATAGCTTCGACAGCACTGTGTCACATTCTGCGGATCTGGAGTCTAGAGCCCTGCCTGGCATCTAGGCGACTAAACGAACAAACGGCTCAGCCAGCATGAGCTTCAACTCTTGGGCTCAAGCACTCAGCACAGCCTAGGCACTTGTGAAAACTGCAAACAAATGAGGCAAGTAGCGTAACTAGCGACTAGCAGGCCTCAGGACTGAATGAAGATTTTCTGCAGTACAAGACTCTCGTGGCATTTCTTCAGGCTACTTGTGCAGGCAGAACTTGAAGTCCAGCCCCGACAAAGGTCAAACGGGCCATGGAATTGCTGATCCCGTCTGCCTAAGTCAGCATATCATAGCGCATCGTCGCCTCCAAGGCGGGCAGAGCAGCCATGTGCTTGCCGGCCACATCCTTTGTCATGAAGCTCTGCCAGGGGAACCTTGTAAGGGCAATCATTGGGAGATGCTCAGCTGCCAAAGCTGCAGGGGTCCCCTTTCCTGTCAGATTACGTGCTACTGCTAGCACCACAATCTCACGCTTGCTTTGTTTGATTGCACTAGGCATCAGGCATGTGCGCAAAAGCTCTCTCCCTCCCCTCTCTCAGCTTGCTCTTGAAGTCTTAAAAAGTGGGTGAGCTCCGAAACCCCGCAAAAAGCCCTTGCCCTGGGCAATGTCGCATGATCAACCTGAATTCATGCAGCCATGCTCAAAATGTCAAAACTGCTGTTCACAAAATGCAGGTAGCGGTGCTCAGCTTCGTAGGGGACCTCACTTAACGGGCTCGCTGTGCATATCGCACATATTGCAAGGCGTGCATCCGAAATGAACTCTGCTACCTGTATGGCTTTCGCGAGGAACCTAATTAAGCATATGAAGTCTCAGGAAAAACGCGGGTGGAAACATTTGAATCACGATTAATTTGAGTCTGAAGAGGCTCTCCTAGCTTAAATGCAACTGTGAAATGAAGGCTCTCCCCTCACCCATTCTCACCCGAGCATGTACCATCAAGTCAAACCCCACTAGCATGCCGGAACATATATCAGCCAGTTTTGTCAATAGAACTGAGCCTGAAGAACGCGTAAAAAAGAAGTGCAGCGAACCAACTAGAATTTAAACGGCCCAACTCTGTGCAACTAACAAGCAAGCAAAACTTACAACCAGAATCTTAGCAGCGAGTCTAAGCCGGACGCTGAACAGAAGGAGGTGCCCTTTTGTCCGATGGCCGTGAGACCACCTCAGCACATTGCCTGCCATGATTCACGTACCCTGTAACAGTTTAGGATTCGCGGGACCGCCAACCACAATCACGTGTGCAGGTTCCGCAGTGAGTAGAAAACACTAAAGGTTACCTGCTAGAAACACTGGAACTGGAACGCAGCCGGCACAAATTTGGACCACAAGGTTTCAAAGCCTAGTTGGAGGTTGACGCACTCTCATCCTGCTGTGCCACGCTGTCTGTTCTCCTGAGCCAACTGCAAGTCCTGCTGCCTCGTTCCAAGCAAAGTTGCCCTGAACCTGGGCAAGAAAGCAACGTCAACGGGATTATCCCTACGCCTGCCTTGACCCAGGCACCACAACATCTCCAACCCATGAGTGATAGGTTTCCCAAGGACGGAATCCGAGGCACAGGCACAGTCCTTCAACACCTCGGCAAGTGTTGCAGTAGAGCTGGGTGGGTACTCCTCTCCCCACCAGACATATGCAGCTGAGGAGCTGAAACGCGCCAGGAAGGGGTTCATGCCATTCTCAATCTCCTGCATGGAGGGAGCACGCGACTCGTCATGTATCGAAGACTGGTCACTTGCAAGGCTGGCTCGGCACAGAAATCTTGCCAGTTGCGCATGTGCGGGGATGAAGGTTGCACATAACGAGATGAAGGTTGCGCATAACGAGATCAGAATCAGGCGACATTGCGTAAGGCGCCATCTCGGCGCGCAAACTCAACCAAATAGCTCAGGCATTTTGGCAAAAACTCTCAGGGCTCGTGACAGGCTGTAGTGCACCAGTGACGAGTCTAAGCTTCAATGTAGAGTCAAGGCATGCTACATGTAACAGAAGAGACCCTGAAGAAACGCGTGAACCTAGAAAGCGCACCCTGGCGAAACGCGATTGCTTTCCGGCAACAGTCTTTGGCACAATGCCTTCCAGACAGCACTCGTCTCGGCAACATGTAATCCAAGCGTCCACAGCCTGTACAAACACATCTGGCATGGGCAAGGATGTGCCACAAGGCAGGTGACATGCCCAGCACAAGAGGCGTGGCACAGAAATGCACAAGAAGCAATGCAGCTTCCAAACACCAGGAGCATCCAGGAGCTGTAGGAGCCGTTGGAAGTTCGCGGTGCTTGGACATCACAGCAGACGACAAGCCGGAGTCGAGCTCATACGAAAGTCTGCGTCAGACTTGCTGACTTCACTGAATCTAGGTGCAAGAACCAAACCGCAGCCCTAGTTCAATCACGTGCTCGACATTGCCCGACTCCCTGCACAAAAGCTTGGTCTCTGCACTCGAAGGCAAGCATAAGCAAATTCCATTCATGCACTACTACGTGACACTGTCCCAGACGGGAATGCAGTTTCAGCATGAACTGCGCGTTCAAGGTTCCATGTTTCAGAGCCTGCAACTGACCCTTGTTGCAGTCAGAACTTGGATGTCACAAAACCACTCAGTCTCCCATCAGATCTCATCAGCATCTATGCCTCCAAAGGCACAGGAAGTTCTACGACAGCAACCAAAAGGCTGATATCATTGGATGTCACTGAGCCCTTGGCACAGGGAACACTTGGTGGACCATCTGTCAAACAAGCCTGCTACACGTGCGAAGCCGCGTGAGCCCTAGACATGTGCAACATGAGCTGATGTGCATCGGAGCACACATTTACACTGTGCTGCCTCTTCACTGCGAGAAGCGTGGGGTCGACATCCGCGCACACCTCACATATTTTCATGAACGCATCTCTAATCTTTGAATGCTGGTATACAATACCAACTCCTCGGTTCGCGCGGTGAAACGAACTGACCCCCGTTCTGGTGGCAGAGCGCGCTTCATGCGATACCAAATGCATGCTACTGCTCGTCACTCTGTTAGTAAACAATGGCCCGGGAAGATACAAACTACGCCACCTTGATCACCTAGAGATACCGTCATGATGAGTCATGATTCAGTCATGACTCATGCCTGTCATGCCAATCGCAGCATCCAACCCCATGGCTCAGATCCAGGCGCGGCATGCCAGGCGAAGACCCACGAGGTGCTGTGCAGAGAACTGATGAGAGAAACAACTCTGCAGAGTTTGCTGCCTGTTGAACTTGGCTGCCGGCCAACGAGCCGGTGAGGGGGATCTGAAGATAGAGCGCCTGCAACATGCTGCAGATAGGATCTCTGAGCAACTTTCACTCCCAAGACAAACGCATGGCAGAAGGAAGGGACGGAAAGATGATTGAGTGGAAGAAGGGAAAGCAAGAAATGTGCAAGAAGCTTTTTCATCTCGTCGCATGCTTGTCCAGGCAGAATGTCAGTTTGATCACTCAGATATTGCCAATTCAACCTCAACCGCTTGACGTATGTCCTTGCTAGATGCTCCAAGTCGAACTTCAATTTTGCGCTGCAGTACCTGAGCGCCATAGTATATAAGGAGATACCGGGTAAGGTTTCAAAAGGCACTAAGTAGGCGCATGGACAAATTGCGGCCAAAAAGCCCACCCGCCTTAGAGGCTGAAGCAAGCGTCTGCAAAATACTGAGGTGACATCATGCAGTGCAATGCAATCAAGACCGGCACGTTCAGAGCAGAAAAGCTTCAGGTCTCTTGCAGGGAAATCGAAACGAAGGGTTTGCGACTCATCTGGCTGCAGGACCTGAGTACGGATGACTGCAGCGTCTCAGGTTTTTCCTCGGAACCGGCATATACCTCATCGAATCGCGCCTTTGTTCGCCGAAATGCTTTTAGCATGATCTCCTGAGCTTGTCCCAGATGGCAGCACACGCACAAGCAGCGATGTCAGTGGCAAGTAGCGTAAGGCCCAGTGCTGTCAAGAGGCTGGAGTTCCCTGGACCCATGCTGCCTGAGTGAACACATTCACCGCCCTTTACTGACTCCGCCAATAATATTTATTCACAGGCTTGCATTGGTTACAGCTTCTGCAGAGCCATGCGTCGTCTCCACCAGTTGGCTCAGGGAAATGAACATATGCCTGCCAGCATTAACAAGCTATGCCCGCCACGACCCAAACTGCGTCTTAATACTCAAGGAGAGCGGATACCAAGACCTAGGAATGTCATGTTGCTCAGCCCGCCTGAACAAGCTCTTCGCCTGACGACTGCCCCGCGTTCTTCACCAAGACTTCCACACAAGCGGCCGCTTCACAGCCCTTTTCGACCCTGTGTGCCCCAGAGTACCTGAGCAGGCCAAGGTCTTAGGCCTCCCTTTGAAAGTGAGACGCGGCCAGGAAATACTGTACTTCCCAGGGGCTGGAATGTTGTAAACGCCAGACCATGGCCAAAAGGAAATGATGCCTCCCAGCATGCTTAAGCAAGCATTGAGTTCTCAGGGTAAGAGCGTAGGGCCAGCACACGCAAGGATGGGGATCTGTAGGAGGTCAGCAGGCCCTGCACTGCTCAGGGATTAAACATCCAAGTTGAGATGCTGCAACTTGCGCAGCTATGGACTTCTACGTAAGTGGATTCGATAACCAGTCCTCGGCATATGTCACTTCGGCATCAAGGCCAACAGGGATAACATCGGCGCTGGTTTCTGGCATCATGATGGGAAGCCTGCGCAACATGGAAGCTGCAGTACTCAGTCTTGTTGAGTGACTTCTGCGTGACCTTTGCATTGGGGAGCACCTTGCAGTAACTCTTCTGGTTAGCGCTGAAGCACCATTACGCACACCATCTCGCACTGCTTTGCACTGCTTGGCAAAGCTGAAGCTTTACGACAATTGATCGCAAACCTACAAGAAAGAACTGGCCGTGAGGGACTGAAAGTCTGCAAATCAGTTGGGGTTGGTTTTGCGCAACGTGTCGGTAAGGATTTACCACGCCTTCCCAAGCCCCATGTCTTGCGCTCAAGGGGGAGGTAGGGGAGGCATCGTTTTGTGCGCTTCCACCCTGGAAAAAGGAGGCCGGCAGTGCTTTGTGGCCGCAGTTTATATTACGGGTGGATGCGCTAGCTCACGATTCGATGCTGCTGTGACTGGGTCTTTCTTACTGTCTGTATATCAATGCTGTAATCCTCATATGAGCCGCATTTATGTCAGCATCTTCCAGGAACAAGGTATTGTAGAGGAAGCGGATTGAACGAGATAGGTCAACAGCAATCCGAGCAGTCTGCTGGTGCCGGACAAGACAGGAGGGCATTTCTCCCCGCGTTCCACTGGCGATTGCCCACTCCAATGCATACATTGCCTCAAACCCGCCACAATCAGGTGCAGCTATTGATCAAGGCGTCCAGGCGTACATGCCAAATTTTGCGGTAATTAATGTCTTGGATAATTTGCGGCGCTGTCGCGACTTGGGGATCCTGTCTTCACATGGCGAACAGCACCCGGCAGAAGGATCAGCAAGAAATGATCTGGAAGCCACTACAGGCGCAGTGACAGTGAGAGATGCAATCGAGTCCCAGAGCAAAATCTCCACTGCCATACAATGTAGGCAATCACCGTCAAGCAGGCTTTCTACAAAGAAGGGCACTAGAAGCAAAGTGTGGATGCAATTCGGCTTGCACATCCGGTACAGCACTTTCGCAGCAAGAGGCTAAATCGCAGTGCTGCCATTTTGTCACGGCCTTCCACGAGGCGAAAAATGTCCAAACAGGAAGTTCGCCCATGCAGTACCAGTCCTTAAACAGGCATGATGGTGATCCTGCTGCTTCTGCCTGAATGCATGTAAAGCACAACCTAGGCTTCAGATGTCAGGTGGCGCAACACCACCCATGAATTGGCTGGCAACAGCAGCGACCTGCCGTCACCAGCTTCAAAGGCGACACCATGTCACCTGCAAGATCTGTCGGCTGCTGTGTGTGTCGGCCTGGCTGCGCCAGGGCATTAGCACCTTGGCGTAGTTTTCAAGCTTACTTCAGGAAAAGCTGTCGAAGCTCAAGCACGCGTAAGCTCAAGCCTTAATCCGTGCTCTTGCTTGTTGAGCAAGATTTTGGGTCAAAGATAACATGAAAGGCAGAGGCAGCTTTGGGCCCAAAACCCCCTAGATTAAAAGCAAAGTATTCCCAGACCGTGAAAAGAGCGAGATCTGAGTTTGAGGTTCAGCTTCAAATGCTGAGGCCCCAAAAGCTAAAGCCTAAATTTGGAAACCTCAAATCCCCAACAAGAAAGCTGATTCTGAGACCTGAATTGCGACCTGAGCTACCTCTTGCATTCTGCATTGCACATGAAAAAGCAATCAGAATAGATCAAAAACAAGTAAGTGCTAATGCAAATCCTTGAACTTCGAATGAAAATCAAGTCGCCGTCCAAGCTGGAACACCCATTAAAATCAAGGAGTGCAACCTAGTCTAGATGCAGTAATAAAAATCTGACTCAAACGGTCTGGGACTCTGGGATCCCTAGAATAATGGGCCGAGGCTATTGCTGTGTCCGCAACCGTCAAGTCCGTGAACAAAGGAGGAACAACTAAGTTGTGACGTTGGGCTTCAGATGCGATCCACAAATAGCGCAACTGCATTTCATCACAGTATTACACTTAGAGTTCATGATATTTCATGATAGCGACATATGTCAGTGGATCAACGTTTGAATCTTCATGCCAGAGAATCGTTCATCCCACATGCTGGACTGTTCCACACATCAAGCACTGTCGCAGGCAGGTGCCCCATTTTTAGCTGGACTTGCTCACAGCTTCTTCGTCCGACGCGTCTTCGCTGTCACTTCGCTCAGAACCAATACCATTCGGTGCCTTCCAGAACCTAGACTGCAGGAATCAGAGAAGCGACGTCAAACATAACAAATGCATACAAGCCACTGCAACATCACATTTCTTGCACTTGACTTCCAAGCCTTAGCTGCATCGAAGTGGAAGCAGGGAAATACGTGCCAGCATCTGAAATAGTTGAACTGCCATGCCAGGTTACAAGATGAATCAGCTCCATGCAGCACAGGCAAGCCTCGCGCATGCCAGACAGGTTTCAGCATTGCTGACTTCACTTCAAGCAATCGCTGTGGAAAGTGCACATTGTAACCAGATCAATGAGGGAGCTCTGAGCCCACGGCAGCCAAACTTAGAAATGCAAGCAATAACCAGAAGCCAAGGTTGTGTCCTCAGAGGCGGAGCTGCGCACCCTCCTTTGTACTACACTTGAGGTACAAGCCGAGGCCAGCAAAAGCATGGCAAGCACTATCCCTGGAGAGCCAGCAGGAAGCACAAACCTCGTCCTGTCAAATTGCCTCAAGCAGCCCCTCTCACCAAACCTTGTTTTCCACTTTCCAACCACGTTGCGTTTGACTTTCACCTCTACTCTCCATTTTACTTTCCTGAGCACTTCCCACTCCACTTCGCACTCCAGCTTCACTCGACTTTCCACTCAACTCTCCACCACTTTCCAATCTACCTTCCAGTCTACTCCACTCTGCTCTCTGGGTGCCAGACCCACTCTCCACAGTAGACCCCCCCCCCTTCCTCCCCCTACGGTTCCTGTAAAAGAATCATCTTCGCCCCCGTTCGAGCCCCCCTCCCAGCCGCCCATTCTGTAATGTATCACATGATTTGCAGCTTTCCAAACCTTGAATGCTGCTACTGCTAAGGCAAGACAAAACTTTAGCCTAGCCCTGCTAGCTTTCGTGACATTTCGTTCTCTGCATAGAAAAGCCTAAGCCATGCAAGCGCGTGCCTCCTGTATCCCTGTTTTCCGTGGCTGGCTCACGCAGCAAGGTATCTCGGCAGCTCGCTGGATCGAAGCTTGGTAATCCTATTCAGGGTCGAAGACCAAGCATCCCGCTTCAGAAGGAGAGCCCTTTTTGGGCTTCTCAGGCGAGCTCTTCCTCCGCGGGTGGGAGGGTGGGACCACAAAGCTACGGGAAAGTCAGCTCTTGCTCGCATGAAGGGACATGCAAGCGCGTGCCTCCTGTATCCCTGTTTTCTGTGGCTGGCTCACGCAGCAAGGTATCTCGGCAGCTCGCTGGATCGAAGCTTGGTAATCCTATTCAGGGTCGAGACCAAGCATCCAGCTTCAGAAGGAGAGCCCATTTTGGGCTTCTCAGGCGAGCTCTTCCATCTCTCACTGCGGCCACAACAGATTTGCAAAGCGTTGATGCTGCCATCTGCTACGCTCGGAAACTCTGCAATTGGAAAGGAAAGAGAGCTGAAGCTGCCTCAATCTTGCGACGAGCGTCAGCAGTGAAGAAGGGAGAATGCTTAGGGCAGCAATCTCCTGCAAATAGCTTTCCAGAGTCGACTGTTGCTTGATCCGCATCTGCCACATGAGGTTGGGGATAGAAACACCTGAGTTGTACAAGTGCACGCATCCCCCAGCTCGCAAACCTCCAGGTGTCAGCCGCAACGACTTCTGGATGCCCAGGCTTTGGAGAAGCGCGTCCCAGCGCCGCCTAAAAGTTGCAGGACTGGCAGGGAACAGAGGTGTTTCCGGCTTGTCTCCCCGAAGAGCCAACTCGAGGAACTTCACAAAGGCAGAATCTTGCACAGCGAAGTGTTGCACCTTTCCAGTTCCACGGTTGCGGCTCTTAGGGTTCTCGACTCTTACGTAACAAGCCTCCATGCCTTCGTCCAGGACGTCACTAGGCAGCAAGACATGCGGGCGGCAGGCCCGCAACGGCTCGCCTATGCGAGCAGCTCCGAAAAAGGCAAGCCCAGCTACAATCGCAAAGCGGATCCAGTTCCAGCTCAAAAGGCCATCATAGCCCGTATCACAGCCAGGGGCACAGGTTCGCGGTGGGTCGTAGGCTGAAGACGTTCCCAGCGCGTGACCAAGTCCCAGCAAAGCGGCATATACGGTCTCAGAGTCAGCTTGTTTTTCTGAAAATACGCGCAGAGATGCCTCCATTTGTACAAGGGCTGCCCAGAAGAGTACAAGTGGTTGCCATAGCTTCGAAGCAAAGAGCAGAAAACCATGGCGCAGGTGTCTACACTAGCTAGCGCAGAGGAACTGAGGCCGGAGCGAAGCCAAGCATCAAAGCCTTCAACGAGGCGGTTTTGCAGAGCTCGCGTGCGGTCTCCAACCAAAGCGACCTCTTCAAGGTCGTCGACGGAGGGCCCAGGCTTCTTGGCCTCCCCAATCCTTCGCGAAGAACAGCGGCATATGGACGCGGCATCAATAGCATGTCGATCTCTGGGAGGTTTTAGAGTTTCAGCGAGGGCTCGAGCAATCAAGTGATTGAGTTGCCGGGGATAGGGTTCTGCAATTTTCGTCCAAAGAAGGCCGAACTCCTTGCTGAAACCAGAGAAAGTCTTTGGTGCTCGCTCTTGCAGGTGCACAGGAGCTTTTGACCTTTCAGAGCCAAAGATGTATATATCTTCGTCCTTTTCCTCCACCTCGTGCCGAATCTGCAGTAGTCAGTGACAAAAGCACCGTGATGAAGATTCTCTTCGGCAACTCCTTCGGATAGCAGTGAGGCCCAAAGCGGCAGCTTCCAAAGAAACGATGTGTGCGGATTTTCGGTCCAATGATCACATCCAGCTTTGATGGCGGCCCTGACGCACGTAAGCATGAAGCTCGCGTGCTCGTTTCCTTGCGAGACTTTCTCCCTCATAGCCGGCCGACAATCCGGCAAACCTTCTGGAAAAGCAGCTGACCTTACAGGGGGTCGAACCGCAGTAACCGCACGGCTCATCGAAGAGCAGATAGGGCCTCCACCTATCGCATAGAACGCCTTCTTCTCGATGAGGGCGACGACGCGAGCCTGCAAGGATTTACACAAAAGATCCTCCTGAGCTGATCGCCGCAGTTCGAACGTCAAGACCCACGAATGGGTAAGCTTTGCTGTGGCCTGAGCCGCGCCGAAACTCCCACTATAAAGGTCTAAACAGCCCCTCCGAGTTCGGTCGGGCGGTCCGCCATCAGCAGTGACAAGCTGGTAGTCGGGGAACTGCGACAGCATTTCCGAGACATCGGAGGGGAGAACTTCGAGGCCTTGAGCAGGAAGCTGAGACGCCCTCTCGGTTTTGAGCGGACCACGTCCTGAGCGAGCGGTTCGCAGCCACTTTGCTCGCTGCGGCTTCCGAGGCAGATCCTGTAGTCAACGTCCACCAAAGAAGAAACTGGCGGCAGACCGACGGCATCTTCCGGCTGAGCGTTGCGAGCAGCAAGCCAAAGGTCAAACTTGTCAAAGTCACCTTCCAAAGCGTCGGCCAGCCACTCTGGCGGGTCCTGAAGCTTCGGCTTTCTGACTGGACGATCTTTAGTGGGATCGTCGGCTGCATTGAGTTCACTCGGAAAGTAGAACAAGTTGAGGAGAGAACCGTACCCCAAATGCACCGGCAAGCTCTTTTGCAACTCTCTGTTAAGAGCCCTGCTGGAGGACCTTCCCTTGAGAAGTGCCCCGAGAGCTACCTGACTGTCTAACGCCAGGTTCGTCCGACTGCAGGGGTTGGACCTGACATTTCAGGCTTCGGCCCGCAAAGCCGAGGTCTGGCAGCCGGTCGCACATCGCGACTTCGCTCCGAAACTCGCGGCTTGTTCTTGCCCACCAAGTTCGCCCTCCTTCAAGTGAGCTTCCGGTACGCCTGCAGTCCGAGCCGCTTGCACCACCGCAGGATCCAACCCGGCCAGAGGAACTTCTTGATCCGTCTCGGCCGCCCTCCTGGGAGGGCGCAGCGCTGAAGGTCGCGGTTGGGCTTTCAAAGGCAAGGTCACTCCCTGAGAAGGCGCCGGCAATCTCGAGACGATCTCGTCCAAGCTGGCCTTGACAGAACCCAGGCATGACTCCAAGCTTGCAACTCTAGCCGTCAAGTCGCCCTCAACCTCGGGCGCGCGAGGGGCCGGGGGCGCAGGCTCCGGCAAGTCGACTGCACTGTGATAGGCGTAGCGCTCCTCCGGCACAGTCTGCAAATCAAGAGCGTAGGGCACACAATCTTCAAGGCCCTCT